CTCATTTCTAGGCATGTTATCGTTTGCACTCGACTGATTGCCGATTGACATGATTCGAAATAATTTTTTAAGTGAAGAATGATCGCTTCGCTAATTATAAAATACAATTTATTACTTTTTAATTGAAAATAATTTACCTAATTTAGTTATGGTATCAATTGCTATTTAGCGCGTCATAGGTATAAGATTTTTATGGCTTTCCACTTGTGAATACTTACCGAAGATCAAAGCGATGCTTGGTGAAAATACTCTTTAACGCAAATTGCCATGAAGATAAATCGTTTTGACGATTTCATAACACACATTTGATTTTCAAATGTAAACAATTAACAAGAGTCTCTCTTTATAAGGCGAGAAATTTCAATTTCTGAGAGAAAAGTTGAAGGCACTTTCAATAATTTTATCCACTTATGCGTCTCTCATCCAATATCTTCTCGCGCAATGCTATCGATTGGCGCTTTTTTCTTCCTTGTTAGAAAGTTGATTGATATACAGCATGTTGCGCTTGTGGTGAACACAAATATTGAATTACGATCCAAGTTCCGACCGTAAGCTCGATCTCGCTGACACCAATCACTATATCATTCACTGTAAATCGTTGAGAACATCGCGGGCATTCAAACAATTAGAGATTAATATTGATTTAATGTTTGAACGAATGACAACTTCGTGATTCGTGTTTTTGGCACAAGTAATATCAATGTAAAATTGTCACAGAATCGGTCTATTATGTATTTTAAATTATCGTTGGCATACACAAGACACAATATTACTTTTCTATAAAAAGATACTTCTGATGTCCAATATACGCGAATGTGTAAAGAAAATCCTGTGGGAGTTTAATAACACACATTCAAATAATCCATTCGACTTGAAAAATCCTCATTCGTCACTTCTCACTCGTCACTTGCGACGATCCGCATGGATCATATGGGGAACAATCTGGTCCACGTTGCTGTACGAAACGGAGTGATAAAACGGAACGGAAATATCGAGGGTGCCCTTAAGAGTGCAAAGACCCCTGGGACTAACTGGAAGTTCGCGTTCGCCGTTGCTGGAAGGGAGAGGAGATCCTCACGATCGCGTATCACCAGCAGCACCTCTGTTCGCCGATCATGCCTCTGTGGTATGCACTACATGGCGTCCGCTTCGAGAATGAGCGCGGACATCGATAGATGGGTTACGTTTCAGCATTTTGCCGTACCGCGTCGAGTTGGATCCACGGGGTTGGAGCGAGAAGGGAGAAGGGCGCCCATGTGCGAGAGGGAGCGTGAAGGGGAAAGGGAATAGAGAATGAGAGAGAAAGAAATGGTGGGGATTTTCAGCACGCGCCGCGCAGCCCCTCGTTTCTTCTCCCCCGGAACTGAAAAAGGGGGACCGTGCGCGCCATATGCCGGGGGAGAGAGAGAGCGTGTGCCGGTTGTACCACTACGTGTGTAGATCTACGGCCCAGCAATAAATACATTGGTGAACATTGGTGCGTGCGAATGTGCGTGCGTGCGTGCGTGCGTGCGTGCGTACCTTGCCCGCAATTACCGCTTCTTGTACCGGCGCGGACGCGGTGGCGTCGGCCGTAGAAGACTGTACGAAAGACAAAGTGATCTTGGTAATCTAATGCGTAATTGAACGGCGGTCGATATACGATTAAAGGGAGCCATATTATTATGTGCTTTAGCCCTTATTGCCCTACGATGATATGCCTGCCGACGGTGGAGTAATATTATTAGGTAGTCATGTTTATATTGTTAGTATACTTAGCGCCTGTTTCTATTCGATATGTTCTACTTGCGTACAATGTACATTATATTTCTATTGCTCGTCATGCACCGACAAGTATTACATTTTTTGTGCATTTTTATTATATATTAGAATCATTTAATTTCAAAATTGTCGTCGACAACATCTGCAGAATATACTTTCTTATCGTAATTATTATCCGTTTAATGAAAACCATTCTTGTCAGGTATCAGGACATTGCGATCTTCATGACGGTAACCAAAAATTACGTAGATCCCCGTATTTGATATTTTATGTATTTAGATATTATCAAATCAAATAAATGCGTTTCGTGATTTGTACTTTTATTCTGTGCCAGAGCGCTTTATCTTCATCATAAAATGCGCCATAAAATGTAACATGAGAAAACACATATGTATACAATATAAAATATTTTATCCTGTAGTCTATATAATAGCGTGAGAGACAAAATAATAAGACTTTGATTAGAATGTACGTCAGTGACCTTCGTACACTTGCAAATAATATCAAACTGCCTTAAATTTTTCAACTGTATGAACAAAAAGAAATAACAAAAAACAATTCAATTCCACCTGGCATATTTCCTACTGCGGCAAAAGACAGGAAGAACCACACACTCGTCGCGCCGCGGAAGTTTCGTGTTTCAGGGCGGTACACTCGTGAGAGTGACATACCGAATGCGAAATATAATTTTTGTTTGGAAAAATAAAAAAACCGGTTCTAAAATTGTCTATCGTCGAATATATCATTTTTTAAAGTTTCGTGCTTCATTTAAAAAAAATCTTACTTTAGAAAATTTAGATTTGTTAGCATTTATTTTTGAAGATATGTACTTTTCTTAAAAAGAGAAATAAAAAAACGGGACTAAGAGACATTGCTAAAAAATCATTTTTTAATTAAATAATCAAAGCTTGTGCTGTAGTTGCTATGCAAAATGGAGATTGAATAGAATATTAAATTAGAGCGTACCTACCTGTAATTTTTATGCGCATACGTAAATTGTAATTTAGAAAGCAACCGCGATAAAAAGTTTTTCATGCCGGGGGTTGTACTGATTATGCTTAAGGGATTGGAGGGTTCAGTAGGATTCGACCTAGATCTAGTCTGCATTTGTGCACCTAAACCTGAGTGTCCCTAAACCGACCGTACGATTAAAACGGAGGCCCGAATTTATAATGTACATTATGTAAACTGGGGCTGCGCGTCTGCAAAACCTTGTGAACAAAATTTTAATTTTAGATTTGCAAAACTCGATAATATCATTTATTAAGATGCAATAAACTAGAGTTCAGAATATCATATGCCTCATAAATCTGAGTTAATATTTTATTAATAATCTGTAGTTGTCTATTATATAGTTAGCAATTTTATGGGATGGAATGACGAAACGAACGGTGACTTTTCGTTCCGTAACAGCTGGGAAAAATCTGTTTATGGGAATAACACGTCGCTATGGTTTTCCCATATGCAAGAGAGATCCACTCACTTCCACAGGGGATTAACGCAATTTGTATGCGTACGGTTTGCACGTGACACCGACGATTAGTTCTCAGCAGTGGTTGAGACGATAATTTATGAAATCTTAAGGATAATGCTTTACTCTTCTAACTTCCTCATTATTTTCATTGAAAACGGGAAAAGATCAATCTTCACACATGATGCTCGTTAGAGCGCGACGATGTTTCCTTTTCGAGTAAAGAGAAGGAAACGAGTCTCCAGGAAGTCTCGATGTTGGTTTGCTTTTCGCGTAACGCGGAATTTATACGGCGCGATATAAGAAATATACATATAAAGTTGTTACAGCGAGAAATATAAAGCGGTCTATATGTGCGCATCGAGTCGTCTTTACATGACAGCAACGTCCAAATATCGTGTCTTATCGTGCGTTAAACATGTGTAATTCAACGATTATCATTGCGAGAGTAACATATCAGCCACTTGGCATTTAAGTCGAACCGGGTGGATTCCGAAATTGTGGTATAAACCCCGCGCGAATAAACCCCGTAAAGTCCCCGGATATGTTGATCCGGTAGTTGTGCGGCAAAATGGATTTAAATATTTTCAGAAACGGCGCTCCGAGAAACGAGAAAAGGGGAAAAACGTACGCTGGAGCGGAGAATGATCTGATCCTGATTTACGTAATCAGATGGGACGGCGCGATCGTAATATCCTTCGATCGCGATCGCCCTCGTTCCCGCCACGGCACGTATATCACGGAGTTTCGGTATTATCGAGCGGCGCATCGATGCTGCTCGCGACCGTTCGACTGATAAGTTTACAGGCTCATCCGGGGGGCATTATGCGTCGGAGAAGATCCTCAACAATGGGGGCCTCGGTGGGGCCTCACGGCGGTCCCCCCCCGTTCTCGCGCATAATCCCCACGAGCACTCATCTCGTGGGACTCGAGGCGTGCGCGCTCGCTCACCCCTCTCACCCCCCTCGCCCACCCCTCGTTTCCCCTCGGTACCAGGAGATTAAAGCTTCTCTCTCTCGCGCGCGCGCGCGCGAGGGTCGCCGCTCTATATATTTCGTTATAAATTCGGCCGCAGTTCTCGTTCACCACGGCTTAGGCACATTGGCAGTCCCGGGGTCGCGCTCTGTATGGACGCGATGGTACCATCCCTAACTAATTTTCCATATTTATTGTTAAAGGGATAACCGTCGGGGTTATTGATGATCGTATTATTGCGACAATACAATGCATATTTGATCACGTTGCCATGGCGGAACGAGATCTTTTCGTCTTGCATGCAACAGCATCCCTTAAGTTTACATTTTATTTCAATTCTCGTGTTTAGAATCTGTTGTCGCTTCTGAAAAGCCTCGTTTTTCTGTTAGTCTATCGCAGAGTTTCATTAAATGTAGTACGAAGAGTAAATGCTGTTATTTATATTTGAGTATTGATCGAAAAATACACTTTCGTCATAGGTTCGTTCGCTGTAGGCGATCGCCACCGCCTAGCACGAACGTGACTCGTTCTTCCGGTGCGATGGGGTGGAGAAATAAGTCCCTTGATTCACGATTATCGGTCAAGTTAGTCACGATATCGAGTCGAGTTAGCGCATAAGCGCAAGTTGGAAATTCGTACAGCCTGATGCGTCGCGGGGGTCCACGTGCTTAAAAAGCGCTAACAACACGAGTGCTTTAGTCTTCGCGTTAAACGACCGAAGCGGTCGGCAGCCGCAGAAGAACGCAAGAGGCAAGAGAGATGGAATGAATAGGAGGGGTGATGGTGACGAGGAAGTAGGGACTAAAACGAGGTAGAAAGGGGGTGGATCAGTGCGGGCCCTTTGTCACGACGCGTGCCCCTGCACGTGTGCACGACCAATGCCTACGCACTTCTGTTACGCACCATGCTTCGTTGCAGGGGCGGATTTTGAAGCTACAAATTCGTACGATAGTGCTTCGAAGGAATAAACTGCGCTTCCATTTCGTTTACAATTTAATAATAGTCATGCAGTCAAATTAATTGAAAATTAATTAAAAATCTTTATCTTCAATAACAGAAGCCTAAGGAATTATATGTAACAATATGTATCCATTTATTATTAATATTATCTTCAAGTATTAACATTTAATTGTATCAAGGAGAACTTTTTTAAAAAATATTTT